CCTACTGCAGCCTGGTCAGGTACCTGTTCCTAGCCCTGCTCCTGCACGGTGAGTGTCTGCACTGCGGCGGGAAGGAGAGAGCGCGCTGCCTCTGCTCAGCTAAGGACCTGCGCTGGGCACGGATGGAGCAGAGCCTGGCTGCCTTAAGGGGAGGCTGGAGGAGTTCACGACTCCCCGGCTTGGCCTGATGGAGCTCATCTCGAGTTGGGAGGGAGCAGAGGTGTCTTATGCAGGGCTTTTGGGAATCCCCCCACTCCACAGTCTCCCTCCGCATGCGGGGAGATTGGTCAGATGTGGAAGGTGCAACCCTCCACTGTCAGGCTTGCAGCCGCTGCTCCACAGGGCTGGGAAAACGTTGGGAGGTTAGAAAGGGCCACTGGGAGCTCAGTTAAGGGAACAAGTTGCGCCCACGTTGATGCCAGCACTTCTTGGAAGAGGGGCTTTGGTCCACATGAAACGTCCCGCTCTCATCTGTTCAAAGCAGAGGGGGTCCTAAATACACGGGGACTTCCTTCGCTTTGGCGTCAACCCTTATTGTTCAGTGATACGCGCTACCAGACCTTTGGGGTAAAGTGTGGAACAGCAGTGATTGTCCGGGAAGTGCCCTGCTGTTTGCCTACCAACAACTTGTTGACTGTGTCACTATCTATGTGGCACTGCCTGCAGTTTGGGATGCTACTTTAAGAGCCTCTCTGCAAAATCCTGACTGCAAGGAAGTCCACGGGAGCTTTGTCAGAGAGGTCAACAAGGCCAGAATGCCATTCTTAAGCAATCACTGGACATGGATGTATAGAGGGGTTTATCTGCAAAATTACTGGGTACTAAAGCATGGGGTTTAGGGCTCATGATAATAATTTGATTTAAATTACTGAGGATCTTTATACCCCCTTAGTTTAAAATATGCCAAATTCTGCTTTGAGACAGCTTCAACATAGCATTGGACAAAGACATCTTCTGAAAAAAAGCTGTTATGGGAACAGGCATATTTTAAGTTACGCAAGCCAAACTTTTCAAACTTGGGTGCAACAAGTTGGTCATGTACAGTCAGACCTAGTTTACCATAGTGGTAAGCACCACATCTCCAGTTTTCTTCATTCTTCATCTGGAAATCAGCTTCATTAGGTGCTTAAATATGGATTTACATACCTAATGTTATTTAAGACATTGGGCAAGATCTGATTCTGAATGAATACCTCAGCCTGCTACATCATCCTTTGAGAAGTGGACTTAATACTGAGGTATTCTTCAGCATCCAGTCTTTTTCAGTAGAATTTCTCAGGGCCCAAAATAGTAAAATTAGTAACCTCAGCTGACTCAATCTTAGTGTTGGCAGCAGATATGAGAACATTTGTCTCCGTAAGATGGTCCCCTGGGAGCAGGGATTGTCTTTCTCTATGTTTGTACAGTACTAAGCACACAGATGGTGCTCAATAAATAATAAAGATCATAGGCTTGGAGTGTGTGTTTTGTTTTGGGGGTTGGAGAAAGAGTGCATGCTTGCTAACCAGAAGGGGTTTTACGTACCTCTCACAACTCAGCTACAAATATATAGACTGTATAAAAGTGTCTAGTTGAGCCAGACTTGCCTGGACACCAAGGTGTACTTTAAAACTCTGTGATCTGGGAATCAGAAAGTCAAAATGGAAGGTCTGAAGTTAGAGGGTAAAAAGAGAAGGTATAATTATAGGGTTAGACTCCCAGGCTCATCTGCTTGGAATTACAAATTACATAGTTTTAAACTTTAGCTGAAATGGGAAGCAAATCAGGGCCAACAATCAGATCAAAACAGCAGTTTTCAAAAGAAGATGAAATAGGAAACCAACAATTTTTTTTCCATGTGCAGCCATATTGCATCAAACAAATATTCCCAATCAAACACTTTTGAGGAAAAAAATAACTTTAAAACTTGTATGTGAATGTGCACGTATCAGTAATGTGTGGACCGGAGCTATCTTGTGGAAAACTATTGCCCCCTTGGGCTGAGATAGTGATATAATGCCTTAAGATGTAGACCCTGCTCACAATTAATCTATCTCCAGTATATGTTGGGTTATTATCTTTAAAACATGTCTTTTCTCTACAATGCATTTGCACAGTCTGCTTTAGCTTATCCTGCAGTCATTATAACCATCTCTCAGTCAATAGCTAGCCAGGCAATAGCTGACAGTAATTACCAATCAACATAGAGGATGAGTGTACCAAGCCCTTTGAGACCATGTGACTGTCTCTCAGTCTACTGTATTGCGCTTGGCAACCCAAGGGTAAATGAAATGTGTCTGGAAATAAAATGTAAATACACTTGCTTTCCATTTTTGATTCAATGTAAAATACAAGACTCAAGCTCATACTTTCATTGCAGCAAGAAATGTCTCTTTTCATATCACCGAGTTATTGTTTTGGAAAACTTGAATTCATTAGTCAAAGTAAAACCTGTAGAATGTCAAAAGAGGTTTGCAGCTGGAAGTTGTCCATTATCACTGTTTTCTTTGCTTATACAAAAAGCCACATAAGTTTCAGATGTCAAATGCTTAAATCATTCAACTCCAGAAAACTTGATTAATATGAGCTACAGTAAAGTGGATACAAAGCAAATTGGCTAATTTCTTTTGCAAATGTAAACTTTTTTACCATTAAAGATGCTGTGAAGAGCCCTAACATATTTCTAAGGAAGTGACTGTTATAGTAATAAATTAGACACTTAAAATATTTAGCTTATTTTAATACTTCCACTAAAGTATTCCATTCTAATTAACCTTATGAAGTCGGGACTGTTAAGACTTTTCAGAACAGATTGTTTATGTTAAAAAAGGGGGGGAGAAAGGAACAAATCACTAAAATTTGTTGGCTATAAGTGTTTTATTGCATTCCTTGCCTCATTCCTAAAAAGATACTATAGTTTATAAGAAAAAATATACATCCACATACATAGAGATGGGCAGGGTTTTGCACTGAGGGGATGGAGTTTATGGGATGAATATAAAGATTTAGTAAACTAACTGAACATTTAGAAGGCAAATTAGAAAAATAGTTCTCTTTGTTCACTGTTTGGCATTGGAAGCCTGGAGACTGATGAATAGATGGATGGAGAGAGAAAGAAGGAGAGAAAGGAAGTGGACATTGCGGTCTATTTATTTTCAGTTACCTCTGTGTAAATCGTAAGCAATTCCACTGATCTCCTTGGACTCATGGGTGGATTTAGAGGGATGGAAAGAGCTGATGTTATATATACGTGTGTATACGGACAGTACTTTAAAACAATGATAGGCTGTGTCCATTAACATAAAAATCCCTGAAGAAAACAATAGAGAAAGATTATTTCAAGTATTTAATAAAATTACTAATGCAAAATTTTAACAACACTGATGGGTCTGTACTTACTGTGCATAGATCACACAATTAGATTGTTTAGTACAGGATTTGTCCTCCAGTCTTTACTCAAACAAAACTCCCATATAGTTCAGCATTGGCCCCCTATTTTGTATGTGGTATAAAATAGATGACTGTAGTCTGCAATACAGAATACTGCAGATGGCTGTGATATAGAACAGATGTTTTCTTCAAAGAGGTCAAACCAAACTACTTCATGTATTGTATTGCACTTTGGTTCAATCCTGCTTCCACTGGAGTCAGTGACAAAGCTCTCGTTGACTTTAGTGGAAGCAGACTTTAGCCTAGAGTGGTTCACAGGAATACACATTGGATGTGCCACAATTTTTTTTGTCACTTAGTGACGGTGATCCATTCTAGGGCAACATTTAATTAAGCATTACAGAGTTTGCTGCTTTATAAAACGTCTTAATTCATTTGATATTAAACTATAGAATGGAGTTCACTCAGGGCTTTAGGATTGGAAATCTACAGTTGAGTCATTTAACTCAGTTTAAGTTATTTATTTTTGTATGTGTAATAGAATCATAGAAAATTAGGATTGGAAGGGACCTCAGGAGGTCATCTAGTCCAATCTTCTGCTCAAAGCAGGACCATCCCCAACTAGATCATTCCAGCCAGGGCTTTGTCAAGCTGGGCCGTAAAAACCTCCAAGGATGGAGCTTCCACCACCTCTCTAGGTAACCCATTCCAGTGCTCCACCACCCTCCTAGTGAGAAAGTTTTTCCTAATATCCATTCTAAACTTCCCTTGCTGCAACTGGAGACCGTTATTCCTTGTTCTGTCATCTGCCACCACTGAGAACAATGGTGGTGTTATAATAATCACATAGGCCTTTTGGTAAACGTTGGCTGATAAGTGTCATTAAAGGGCAGGTACTATCAAGGGGCTCCTCATGATATTTAAAGTCTTTGGTTATACACTATTTTATAATATTACTTTGAAAGCATAACCACAAGTCTGTCTCCTTACCAAAATCATTCTTTCTTCCACAGTGCTTTCAGATTTTCTTGCTACTGTGAGGTAGCTCAGGAAAAGTGCAGGGTCTGGGAACAGGAATTCTGTTTTTAAAAAAGAGAGCACAAATGCATTGATTTAAAAACTAGAGACAAAATGTTTCAATAGATTAATTCATCATCCAGACTGATGGACCAAATTTTCAAATTCTTACTAAGAATTTGTAAGAGCCTACAAATTCAGGCCAGGTCAGCCCCACCCATGTGACAGATCAAGCCTCGCTGGGCCAGCCCCATGCATCAAACTGGACCCCAGCTGGGCTGGCCACATGCACCAGATCAGGCACCAGCCTGGTATACCAGACCCACAGATTGGATCTGGCCTGTGAACCAGCCCAGGGGATCAAAAGGTTGGGCACCACTGCTCTGCTTTACAGTGCCGAATGAATGGATTGAAATAGTCAATGAGATTGTTCTGCACTTCCTAAGAGATTTCTCAGAACATTTCAGAACTGGGCAGTAAGGGTGTAATAATTTGAGTCATAAAACCACAGTGAGAGTCAGTTTTTAATGAGTTTCTTTGTTAGATTTTAAAATATTTGTATTTTGTATCTCCTCAGTATCTTTACCATTGTAAAATGATTATTTGCCTCCTTTCAACTACAGGTCAAATCTA